GTAATAAGGAAGAAACTAAATATTTTTTTGATTGTTTTTTTCCCAAATTATGCTATAATAAATTCTAAAATTAATATATATAACAAAAAATTGTCCGTAAATTCATTTCATAGCCGTAAACTCAAACTCGGCAATCCGACTTGAAAAGCAACAACCCGATCGACTTGCAAATATGCCTCAAGAAGCTGGGTAATAATAGGATTGCAATCAAATGTGTGATTAACAAACCAACATTTCTAAGAGTGAACAAAAGATGTGTGAAATATTTATATATGTGCACACACATGTATCCAATATAGTTGAGTAAAATAAGCAAGGACACTTCTCTTGAAATGATTCAACGCCGAAAATGGCATGAAAATAGACTGAAGCTTCACTTTCCCACCTTTATTGCTATGGTCTCCTTCCTTTTCACTAGACTCCTTGAAAAACTTGGCAAGACCCTTGAAGGTAAGTTTCAAAATAAATGATGAACATAAGAGAAACTTTTAAGAGTTGCCCGATGGTGGAGACCATTTATCAAAATATATTGTCCCTTGTAGGGATAAGCAAAATATATTGTCCATTTGAGTTGTGAATCCGTTTGTCATTTGTCCTCCGAGAAGTCATATCAAATGGCGTAAACGAAATCCCATTTCATTATCTTTAAGAAACGGGATTTTGTTTATGCCTTTTCATATGGTTGGTTCGTCGGCAACTATGAACCAACCCAATGCAAAAGGGAGGCTGATCCTTATGATAGACCAATTTTTTTATCGTTAAATGTGAATTAAATTGATCGAAAAATCATGTACAAGTACTTCAGACATGTTCGGACGAAACTAAAAAAAAAGTACGAACAAAATAATCTATCGATCAAAGCTAGCAACTCATAATGGGTTAAAACATGAGGACACAAGGTAAACATTACTTTGTATACATATGTTTAAATCCTTCAAACAACGTTGTCCGGTTGTGGCCGAAGATCCTCAAAAATCATCATATTGCGTACTTTTCATAGTTGGTAAATAGTGCAAGCAAGGGCTATCTTCTTAGCTTTGCTTTGCCATGAGGTGCCTCGATCTTCCTTTTTAATCCATTTCAAAGAGCTAGTGATAGTAGACCTAGCTCGCTGAATGCCCAACCAGTCTTTGATTTGCCTTCACACATTTGAACTCATAGTGCATTCAAAGAACAAGTGTTGAACAGATTCAGTTGAAGTGCCACAGAGCACACAGTTTCTATCAATGTCCATGTGCTGAAATTTATCCTTGATTAGTAGCTTAGACTTGGCTCTTAACCAAATGAAGTAGTTATAGGCAAGTGAAATACAGACGTTCCCTCCTTGTGTCCAACTTTCAATCTTCTGCATGGCCATATGAGTGGATTCCTCCCCATGAGTAAGCAAATCTCTAATATGAAGGAGTCTCTTGAACATTGGCGAGTCTTCTTTCTTGGGTAATCTGTCCCAAATGGATGCATCTCTAAGGTAGATGTGATTGATCCATTGGGCACATAATGTATCTTTTTTGCGTGAACATTCCATAGGGATTTAGTAAGGAGGGTTGTGCTCCAACACCTAATATCCCTAAAGCCCCAGCCTTCTTCATCTTTTGGCACGAAAGTATCTTTCCATGCAACCATTGGCTTCTTTGATCCACACAAAAAATTCATATATAGCCGAATCATTTTGTCCGTGACAACAGTTGGGATAGGAAAAATGGATAGCCAAAAGTATTCCACCCCTTTCAAAACGACCTTGATCAATTCGGTCCTTCCAGCGTAAGATGAAGAGGAGGTTGTCCATGCACTAATATAGGCAGCAATCTTCTCTAAAGAAGGGCTGAAGTAGTTAACCTTCAATCTTCCCGCGACAAGTGGAATACCTAAATAACGGAATGACATCCCACCTTCGGGAATGTTCGTTACCTCAAGAATTTCATCCAATTCCGAGCTAAAGATACCAGCCGTGTATAGACTTGATTTAGCCGTGTTCATGTTTAACCCTGGTATGTCCCCAAACTTGGCTAAGCATTCCATTGATAGTCTAATCGAAATAATATCACTTCTCAAAAGTAGTATCAAGTCATCCGCAAAGGCAAGATGGGTGATCCGAAGTTGCCTACACTTAAGATGGATATTGAACTCGAAAATCTCTGTAGCTGCCTTCAATGATCTAGAGAAGTATTCCAAGCAAATCACAAACAAGAATGGAGATAGAAGATCACCTTGTCTGAGGCCATTTCTACCTTTGATAAAGCCATTCAAGTTGCCATTAATCGATAGTGACTATGATGTAGTTGAAACACATTCCATCACCCATTCAATGAACATCATGGGAAACCCACTTCCAATTCACAGAGTCATACGCATTCTTCAAATCAATTTTAATAACGCATCTATGTGATACACGTTTCCTATAGTATTGCCTTAATAGCTCTTGTGCGAGGTGGATATTTTCGATCATGCTCCTCCCCACAACAAATGTAGCTTGTGCCTAATTCACTATAGATCTAAAAATGGGAAATAGTCTGGAAGTTAGGATTTTAGTGATTACCATGTAAGTAACGTTACAGCAAGCAATAAGCCGTTAGTTCCCAACTGTTGGAGTGTGGCTGGATTTTGGCACCAAGACAATAATCATACGGTTAATCTACTTCAGAAGTGTGCTGGCAGAAACGAATTCCCTGATGGCACCACAAAAGTCATTCCCAAAAATGTCCCATGCCTTTTTGAAGAAACAAGAAGTAAATCTATGTGGCCCCGGAGATTTGCCATCTCCAATGCTGAATAAGACGACTTTAATCTCATTTGTAGTGATATCCATGGTAAGAGATCTAGCTTGGTCCGCAGAGAATAAAGGCCCCTTATTGAAAATACTTGAATCAATCTGTCCATGGTAGCATTCGTACCTAGAAGTTTGTCATAGAAATCTGGAAATACTTTGGCAACTTCCCCTTGGGTGGTGGTTGTGTGCCTGTCATCCTTACAAACTGCGGCAATAAAATTCCTCTTGGCATTTCTTTTGATGATGGCATGGAAGAATTTTGTACATCTATCACTATTCTTGAGATAAGCACATTTAGACTGTTGATAGAAAAAAACTAATTTCCACTTCACACAGTGTATGAGCTTCTTTTCTCAACCGATTAGCACACTTTGAAGCACAATGTTACCACTTACCAGGTTGACCGTCAGCAGTCTGCTAGGTAGCTTTAAGATCCAGACTTGCTTTTTCTGCTCTAATATAAATATGGGTAAAATGTTTGGCATTGAGCTGCTTAAGTGCTCCTTCAAGTCATTTCAGTTTTTTACACAAAACAACTAATTCATTCCAAAGACAAGCGGGTTCCACTTGGTATGTCATAAGTCTCGGAAGTCCGTATGACTCGCCCACATATTAAAAAACTTGAACGGCTTGTTCTTGCATCCGTCCTATTGGAGAATTGTAGTAATACATGGAGAATGATCAGAAAGACAGCCTAATGGTAGAAACTCCGCATGGCCAAGAAAATCCATTTGTAGCCAAAGTTCATTTAACATAGCTCTGTCAATCTTGCTCCAAAATGAAGGTGTGCTTCCTGATGGGTTTTTGGACCAAGTATGGAAGCATCCAATAGATCTCAAGTCTGTAAGATCCACATTCAAACAACAATCCCCAAAATCCCTAATCTCATACGAAGTTACATCCGCTCCGTTACATCTTTCATCATACCGAAGTACATTATTAAAATCACCAATGATCATCCAAGGAATCAAGCATTTGGCTCCAAAATTCATTAAGCTACTCCATAAGGGCCTTCGAGTGATAATAGAATGGAAACCATAAATCAAACTTAAACAAAATGTTATGGATGTTACCTTGCAAGTAACCTAACTGTGGGCTAGCTTCCATCACATGAAGGTCAGCTTTTGTTGGATTCCATAAGACCAAGGTCCTGCCCGCTGGTTGTGAGAGGAAATTATCGGCCTGTTTTCATGCTCCAAATTCGTTCCTCATAATTCTAGTTAACTTAGCATGGTTGATTTTCGTTTCTCAAACACCAAAAATATCAATACTTTGCTTTTTTAATCAGGTGATGTACACTCATTATGTTTTAGGGGCATATTAAAGCCTCTAATTTTCCAAGGAGCAATCTTCATGACGATAAGAGACCCTTCTTTATTTTTTCTTTATTGTTGGATTTGATGGTTGATCATCAAGCTCCCCCTTGAGCTTTCCGTTGACTTCTACACATGAACTTGGACCTTCAATGTGTACAGCTCCTTTTATCGTTTCACCCAAATTGGAGTCCCCAATTTCTGCCTCTGGGATTGACATAGTCTGGGACAGACCAATATTTCTTAGGGCATTGGACACTTATCTGGTGGTTGATATATGCATGCCTTTACAATGAAAACATAATATCACTTCTTATAGGCTTATTGAGAACATAGCTATATGAAACAAGAACACTATCCTTCCCTATTTATGGTGGCATATTTCCCATTACGAATACACGATCCACTTGAATTATTTATTTTGTAGGATTCTCTCCAATCACAAACTCATGGTTCAGCTTCATGCCAATTATAATCCTTTGCATGGACTCGACACATTTTTCTTAACCACTATATGTGGCATGGACTCGACACACCCTTGTATGGTCTAAGAAACACTTACCTCACATCGATGTGAAAATGAAGTCGATCTACCCATGAATATTCTTGATCTTCCTTTATATTTCCTTACTTTCTCTTAAAGTTCTAGAAGTTTTAATAATTTACTAAAGAATCCCAGTTCCAAATATTAATTAGAAACGTTCAAACTTTTACCATACATTTACTTCAAGAATTTGAAATCAAATATTGA